TACTTTGTAACTTTGTTGAATCACAGTCAATTGATGTGAATTTTGACTCGTGTAGTGCTTTTTTTTTTCGTTTTTCTCTTTAACCTAAGACGTTTATCAATCATGTTTGAATTAACATATTTTATTGCGAATCCGACGCAAACTGAATTGTTCCAAATCAATAGGGTTGATCTTATGAAAATTGCTGCACATTATAAGGTTGGTTTTCGTAATACGCAGTCCAAACGCGAACTTCAGGTGTTGCTTGTTGATTTGTTGCATAAACAGGGCGTCTTTGGTGATGAGGAAAAGCTGGTAGACTATCCTGAAGCAGGTGAGGGTAGTTCAGAAGATCTTGCTTTGCAAGTCACGAAGTTGGAGTTGCAAGCTAAAGAGCACGATAGAGTCTTGTTTAAAGAAAGAGAAGAATGGGAGCATGAGAAAGAGAGACGAAGAGAGCGTGAGAAACATGAGCTTGAATTGAAGAAGCTTGAGATGGAACAAGCTTGCCGCCTCAAAGAAATCGAGTTGAGAGCTCGTGAAAGGGGTATAACGGATGTTTCTGATTTCGACTTGAGTCATAATATTCGTATCGTTCCTCCTTTTCGAGAACAGGAGGTAGACAATTTTTTTGCTCTTTTTGAACGTGTGGCCTTCAATCTTAAGTGGCCGAAAACATTTTGGCCCATGTTGTTGCAGTGTGTTCTCGTGGGGAAAGCCCAGGAAGCTTATTCTTCTTTGTCAGTGGAAGAGTCTCTTGATTATGAAAAAGTAAAAACTGCCGTTCTTAGAATTTATGAATTGGTTCCTGAGGCTTATCGCCAAAAATTTCGTAATCATCGAAAAACTGATGAGACCTACGTTGAATTTGTTCGTGAGAAAGAGTCAATGTTTGATCGGTGGTGTGCTTCTATGAAGGTAAAAACTTATGAAGAGCTCCGTGAACTGATTATTTTAGAAGAATTTAAAAACTGCTTACCAGACCGCATTGAAACCTACCTAAATGAGCAGAAAGTTCTCAAATGTTCCGCCGCTGCTGCTTTAGCTGATGAAAATGTACTTACACATAAGAATGTGTTTGGTACTGCACAAAATTCTGGTAGCAACAGTCGACGGTATTCAAAACGTAGCTTTGATCGCGCTCCGTGTGAGGATAAAGTGGCGGAGAATTCTGTCAAGTTCGTGTCCTCACCCGTTTGTTTCTATTGTAAGAAACATGGACACATTATTGCGGCGTGCAAAGCACTCAAAAAGAAAAATAGTTTCCCTAAACCGGTAGGTTTATTGATGACGTCCTCGCCACAGTTAGAAGGACTGGAGTCGTTAGCTTCTCAGGCTGACATGTGTGAAGAACAGGGGTATGTGCCGTTCATAATGGACGGATTTGTGTCTTTGGTTGGTAATGCAAATTCGCGAAAACCAGTCAGGGTACTTCGTGACACAGGAGCTGCTCAGAGTTTTATTCTAGAAGGAATATTACCGCTGTCTGATGAGAGCTCTATTGGTTCAAGTGTCTTAGTACAGGGGTTCGAGATGGGCTTTGTGAATGTGCCTTTGCACGAGATTGAAATTGAGTCCTCATTTGTTACTGGCCGCGTTGTTGTTGGAGTGCGACCGTGTCTTCCCGTTCGAGATGTCATGTTTATTTTGGGGAATGACTTGGCGGGAGGAAAAGTTTTTGCTAACTAATGTTCCACTTCCCTGCGCTACTCCTGTTGTTTGATGCTAATATATCAGATGTATTTTAGAAAATGCCGATCCATGTGTGAGATAATATAAAATGTAATAAATAAATATATATAATATAATAAATTAAACATTACCTTGTAATAGTGTTTTAGAATTTATACAGATAACTGTTATATATGCCAATAAAATAAATATAATAACTATACTAGAATAATAGTATACTATTATACTATCACTATGATGCTTGTTTTGTTTACTGTGTGTAGACGTGCTGAAATCGCGTTTGGTCTCGTACTGTATCGCGATATTCTTAAACACAGTTGTACTAATAAATATAGGAATATTATAACAAGTGATACAGGTCAAAAGCTTATTGTGGACCAATGTATTTAGAATTGGAATAAAGCTTAGCGTGTTTGTGAAATATACTATTTAAATAATAAAGTAAAAGAGGCTATATTTAAAATGTTTCATGGTATACGCAGCTAAAAGTGTGTTAGAGAGATTTAATATGGATATTGATTACTCCTGTGATTTGTTTGCTCAATTGAAAAGGAGTCTATATTATCCATCTATTTTGTAATTGTGTCTACACAAGGATATTTATTTGTTATTTTTATTTTTTTTGGGTGGATATGGAAAATGTAATTAGAAGGAAAACAAATATTACATTCAAGTTAAATAATTTTTATATGCATTATTCCAATGAACGTAATAATAATTACTTTAATTTTCTTGTACATCTTTTTATTATTTTGGGAAAAATGGTCGAGGGAAGCGGACAGGGTCAGGGCCAGGGAAGCGGATAGGGTCAGGGCCAGGGAAGCGGACAGGGCCAGGGCAGCGGCCAGGGCCAGGGAAGCGGGCAGAGCCAGGGCCAGGGAAGCGGACAGGGCCAGGGAAGCGGACAGGGTCAGGGCCAGGGCCAGGGAAGCGGACAGGGCCAGGGCCAGGGAAACGGCCAGGGTCAGGGCCAGGGCCAAGGCCAGGGACAGGGAGGTCAGGGCCAGGGAAGCGGCCAGGGTCAGGGCCAGGGCCAGGGAAGTGGTCAGGGTCAGGGCCAGGGCCAGAGAAACGGTCAGGGAATTGGCCATGGACAGGGGAGCGGGCATGGACAGGGAAGTGGCTATGGTCAGGGGAGCGGTCAGGGAAGCGGTTATGGACAGGGAAGTGGCTATGGTCAGGGGAGCGGTCAGGGAAGCGGTTATGGACAGGGAAGTGGCTATGGTCAGGGGAGCGGTCAGGGAAGCGGTCAGGGTAGCGGCCATGGTCAGGGATGTGGTCATTGAAATGGTCATGGGACTCTTGCATAACTCTTACTGGAGATCTTTTCAGTTCAGTGCTTTATTCCTATGCCATGTTTTCCCTGTTTGCTCAAACAGTTTAGAAGGAAGTCTCCCCACCCCACCACCTCCTCATCAAATAAAAATAATTGCTTGATTGAAGAGTTGGCGTGTTTTGGTATCATTTGGCTGTTTTCTCACATAACTGCTTTCTGGCATCAGTGCTTTAAGTTGCTCTGTTAACGTTTGTATTGGCTGTGCCCTCACACTGCTCATGTCATGTGACCTGTCTTCCAAAAAAGGACATATGCAAATAAAGGCAGTTCCGGTTCATCAATACCGAGTAGTGACTGTGTGTGTGTGGGTGGGGTTTTTTTTTTCTTCGTATAATTAAATATAATTTAACGGTTATCATACGCAAAATGGCTGTGCCAACAGGTTATGGGCCCTGGAGAGAAGTGGGTAACCGATGGAATAGACCAGTGCTTCTCAAAGTCTGGACTCCGGTCAGTCCGGACCAGCCTCCGTTTCGTATTTCAAGAGCATTAATTATTTCCTACTTTGATAAACGCATGCTAAACTTGTAAATCATTTGTTTCGTTTTTTTTTTTTATGTCTTTTTGGAGATTGTTCGAAATGAAAGCGAAGGCGAGACATTGAAACTTTTCCTTCATGACATTTGTTGTCATGACATCCAATGAGCATATGACGTTTGATATAATCGGGCAACATTTCTCCGCTAAGGAGTAATTTTTTTTTTGTTATCACTTAGATTATGGCCATTTGACTTACAGAAGTGTCCAGTGTTTCCCATACATTGAGTTATTTGTGGCGGCCTGTCATAAAATCACTGAAAAAACCGACCGTTTTCAGAAACGCTTTTGATGTCATTTTCATTTTGTCTTTCCTAGCATTTGTGAGCGCAGCGCTTTGATTACAGCCATTACCGGGGAAACCGCTATATCTCTGCTCCAACAGTGCCTCCTGCTGGCAGAGAATGAATTTGCATTTGCAAGTCTGTGAGAAACACTGGTGTCTGTCATCAAACATAAACAAAAAGCATGCTTCAAAACTGTTTTGAGAAGGTGCTTTGAGCCATGTATTATTACTATGAATTGGGCTACTATTACTACTATTACCATCTTGTGCCCTGCAATAATCATTTACTCAAACTCATATCATCATATATCGGCCATCGGCTGTCCTGATTTGTAAAAATGGGCATCGCCCAGAGAAAAACCCTTATCGGTTGACCTCTATTGCTGACACTTAAATTAATTGTTTTGCCACTTTTGCACTTGCTATTAATGTATTTTGAATGCAAAGGGCACTTTATTTTTTCAAAAAATTAATGTTTATTTGTTATGCATGTTATGTAGCCTATGTTTATTAAAAACAAGTTTTGTAATAACCAATTGTTCCGGTCCGGACCTTTGATACTGATGAAAATTAGATTTGGACCTTTGAATGTAGACTTTGAGAAGCCCTGGAATAGACACATTTCATTACACCAAATACACCAAATAATGTTCTTTTTAGCAGCATCATATGACCCCTTTAATGCATTTTGAATGCAAAGGGCACTTTATTTTTTCAAAAAATTAATGTTTATTTGTTATGCATGTTATGTAGCCTATGTTTATTAAAAACAAGTTTTGTAATAACCAATTGTTCCGGTCCGGACCTTTGATACTGATGAAAATTAGATTTGGACCTTTGAATGTAGACTTTGAGAAGCCCTGGAATAGACTGTATTTCGACGGAGATGAAAAGAACTACGAACTTTGGGAAACAAAATTACTAGGCCACATGCGTTTACTAGGACTGAAAGACACGGTGCTATCAGAGCCCCCAGCGCGTGGAGATGAAGATGAAGATGATGCCAATAAAAACGAGGAAGCATATGCTGAACTTATTCAGTACCTAGATGACAAAAGTCTGTCTCTTGTCATGAGAGATGCCGCGGACGACGGTAGGAAAGGTCTACGGATTTTGAGGGCCTACTACGCTGGTAGTGGAAAGCCGCGAATAATAAGCCTGTACACAGAGTTAACCTCCCTGCAAAAAACGGCGAATGAAAGTGTAACTGACTATATTATTCGAGCAGAAACCGCAATCACAGCACTAAGAAATGCCGAAGAGACGCTAGTGATGGACTTTTAAATGCGATGATATTGAAGGGTTTACCGGACTCATTTAAACCATTCGCCGTACATATTACACAAAGTGATGCAGACATAACATTTGCAGAGTTCAAAACCAAATTGAGGAATTTTGAAAGTACCGAAAACTTCCACAACAGCACCAGTGAAGATAACGTGATGAGAGCGAGTGCCTCGACCCCGGAATGGAAGGAGAGAGAACGGGTCGCATGTTCGGAGATTACGTCCTACAACTGTGGCCAAAAAGGTCATAAAGCTCGTACATGCCCGACCCCAAATCGGAAAAGACAGTGGTGTAGTTACTGCAAAAGCTCAACGCACAGAGATGAAAATTGCAGACGCAAAAAGAGAGACAATGTTAAACAAGCCACTGATAAAGAGGACAATCACGAACACACATTTGTCTTTAAAGCAAGTGACTACAAATCCTACGAGATACAGCGGAAAGGACTGATGGTCGATACAGGTGCGACATCGCATATCATTACGGATCTTGAAAAATTCAAACGGTTTGACGACGAATTCCAGCCAGAGAAACACTACATCGGG